GGTGACTTGGAACTGGCCTTTCTCAGTCCTTACCTGTAGGGCTTCCAATACCAGGGGAATTACCTTCTTTAGACATGATCAAGCAAGCCTTCTTTTCAGCCTGGCTTTTAATAATATCTAGTTGTTCACGTGGCTCTAATATGAGTTTTATGTTGATCTGAATCTGTTATCTTTTAAGGTATTTAAATTGTCATGTACATCAACCTAAGCTCTTTTGAAAGGTTGGTGCAGTAGTGAAATACTATTATGTAAAAATATATGCAGGCAATTATTCGCTGTCACAAGTGACAAGACAACTACATATTTTAAAAACCTGGATTAAATTGATTTGTGGTCACGGTGGGACTGCAGCTTCATACAACTTCAGGTTGCACCTAAACTCTGGCAGTACGCTTTGGCTTATTTCTGGAGTCATGAAGCTGCTGGCCAACGTTTTCCCTGCCATTTGAGGATTCTGGAAAGATGGTGGCTGCCATCCTGTCTTACATGCTTAATACTGAAGTAAAGTGCTTGACTGGAAAATCAAAGGAAGCAGAATTTTCTCTGGGATGGGAACGGGAGGCAGAAGCAACTAAAGGTTTGCATGGCAGCCATGAAACTGAGAAAGGGAGGGTCTGTAGATGCTAAACAGAAATACTTGGCCATCAAATCATACCTTAATTTCTATGGTGGGAATCTAGAGTCTGTTATCTGCAAGAGTTACACAGAGTTTTGGGTGCCCTATAGGTGACAGTGATGACAGCTGTGATACGGTGGCTATCAGAGCCAAACCACGGGGAGTGAGGAATGTCTTGTATCTGCATCAGGAGGCAGATGAAGATGAGGATGAAGAAGATGATGGGGAAGATATGGAACAGGAACACGAAGGCAAGAAAGTAGTGGTAAGTGCCAGAAAAACTTGTTAATAAGGTTAGAACAAGGCTGGATGTTTCTGCAGTAGCTAAAGCATCAGGACTGCAGCGTTTCTCCTACCTAGAGTGGGTCTGCTTGGGTTGAATCATTGTGGCTGCAAGGCCAGGTGATCCAAGCTTTACTTCTGTTAGGTGGAGGGATCCTGTGAGCGGTTTCTGCTATTGAGGGAGTAAGATTAAAGTATTAGCAGACACTGCTTGATCACGATTGGGACTTAGTTTACCATTGGGACTTAGTTTCAAACATAGGAATCATTATTAGTCTTAGAATGCAGCTTCCCAGAGTATTACATGGGTTTCATTTTTCCTCCTAGCCCTTAGGGCTACAACCATAAATATGTAGCAGTACCTAATGTGATCCTAGAAACTAAAGGGATATAAAAAAGAAAAAACAGCATTTCTACTGCTAGGGATGTATTTTCTCATGACTCATAAGTGCTGAAAAATATAAACTTACACTTGATTGCCATAAAATTCAGAGCACTATTAAAGGTCACAGAAGACAATTTAAGAATTTGAGTTTCTTTTCTCATAGTTCTGCTTGTAAGCAGAAGCATGAGTCATGAGAAACTGTTTTTGTGTACTGGTGTCCACGCATGAACCTTCTCTTCAGTATACGGTTCTCTTGATTCTTAATGCTGTGCCCATTGGCAACTTCATTTCTGTGCTTTCAACGTCCATGTTCAGAATATGTCATACAACCTAGCTGTGAAAGTTCAGAAATCGAGCTCCTTTGATCTGGTCCAGCAGTGTGACATTTGCAGCACTTGATAAAGGTCACCTGCTTCTTGTGATGTTAATCCGCAGTCAGAATGGAAGGGATCTCCTCTGAAGCTGCTCTGCCCGGAAACAGCTCGTCTGTTTTATATCTTAGGGTTGTCATGTTGCAGATGGTAGGTAAGATGCAAATGGGGGCATTCTGTTAATGCTCTTTCCGTCCTTTCTGGCATATGATGTGTCCCATCAGTGACAGTAACGGGAAAGATTTGACTTGAACTTCTGGGACACTGGAATTGGCTAGACTCTGGATTAAGGGCTGCTTTTGACAGCTTTGTTATTGCATATTCAAAAACAGTATTTTTTTTCTTTTTTTTAAAAACAACTTTCAGTCAACTAAGGTTGAGTGCCAAGAGCCTTATTCACAGTTCTTAGTAATTTTCACATGACAGATTTTGGAAGATTTGTCCAAAATCTGATCCAGCCAATACAGATTCAGTCAGGGTCAACCTGTGTTAAAATCCTCCATTTCTTTTTCTTCCTACCCCTGCTAGGTGTTCTTCACACGCAATGGAAAGATTATTGGCAAGAAAGATGCAGTGGTGCCATCGGGGGGCTTTTATCCCACCATTGGGATGCTGAGCAGTGGGGAGAAGGTCAAGGTGGATCTGCACCCACTCAGCGGCTAAAGATCAAGGGCTGGAGAGAACGGCTCTTCTGCCACTCGGCCGGCTGCCAGATTGCTCAGGCTGTTCTTCATTGCGACTTCAGCCATTGCCTCTAAGGGTAACCTTTTGGATGTGGGGCCATGTAGAGATATTTGTCTATCTAATGCCACCTGAGCCGCCTTTCTTGTCTCTTTCCTGTCTGCTTGATTGCAACTGTTTAATACTGGAAAAACCTTGAGGCTCTTATTTCCAAGCGGGTCAGGGATTAGTTCCTGGAACAGAGTCCCTTTCTCTTTCTGCTCTAATGTTCCATTAACTACTGTTTCTGAGGGCAGGACAGCTCTTGAGTTTACATGGTTGAAAAAGAGACCGGGATATGGCCTAGCTTTGTTCAGCTCTGTGGGTGTCCACGATCCTCTTCCTAAGGGGATAGTTGAGTTGCAGATGGAACAGATCAGCTCCTCTTTCCTATTGATATGAACCATTTGCATTATTCTATCTAGTACACCGGACACTGATGCTCCTTCTCCAGCTGCAGGCCAGCCCCACAAAGTCTTATCTGTAATCTGTTTTTCTCCTGAGCCCATCCAGTGCAGAAAGTTCCTGTGTCATTTTTTAAAAAATATATGGGCTCCTTAGGTTAACCTAAGCTGGCTTTTAGAAACTCCCAGGATCCAACTTTCTTTTTTTCGAGGAGATTTGGGAGGATGATGGAAAGCCAGGGGAGAATCTTTCTTGGACTATACTTCCTTACTGATGTTTGAGGAGCCCAGGACCCAGCACTTCTGCGCCTTTTTGCAAATCAAAGTTTACAGATGAAGTCTAACTAGAGTCTTGATGAATTCTCTGCTGTCCTACTCAGCTGATCTCGGGGCTGGGGGGGAGTGTCATTAGCAAAATTGGAGGCAGATGGTTTTCTGCCATCTCCTGCTTATCCTGAGCTGCTGAGAGTTCCCTAGTATTTGTTTTATATGTTGGGCCAGGCTGGCGTCGAAAGGGTAGTGTTTGATCTGGGTGCAATGCTGCTGTATATCTCTGTATCGATGGAGAAGAGGATGGAATGTGAATTCTGTACTGTAACTTGATTGTAAAGTGTTTATTCTTCACCCTTCATTTTTCTCTGCTGAAGTTAACAAGGGCTAGTCCTTAGGTATGTAGGCCTGCCCTTCCTTTCAGCAACTCCCTTGTTCTCTGCATTGTATTTGCCCTGTCATAGCCCTACCCCATTGGAGAATTAACGAAGGCTTATGGGAAGGGTGAAAACCTGTCTGGATGCTATGTACGTGGATGTGATCAAACAATGACAGGAGAAGCCAAAGAGTAGCAGCTGCTTTGAGCCACGGGACAAAGGGCACGTTTCTGTCCTACCTTCTTTTAACTTCTCTGCCCTGTATTTTCATGGGCAGTCTTGCTGCTAAAATGATAATCTTCTGGGAATTGGGGATTGAAGAGGATGGTCCTGGAAAATCTTTGTGTCGGCTCCCTCTGGTGGTGAGAATGACCTGACTTCATTGTGACAGTCCTGCTTTGTATGTTGGGAGAGGGGGAGCAGCGTTCATTCGGTCTCTTCCTTCTGTGTTCGTGTCTTACCAGCAACCCTCCCTGCCTCTTGCAATTATGAGAAGATTGTAATCCGTGCTGCTGATGGCGGCTTCCTCCCCACCTGCTGCCGAAGCGATCTGGCACCTGGTTGCAGAACGCAAGGATGCAGGGCTGCCGGTGTGCAGGGGGACACCACAAGCTTGTAAATGTGCTGCTGACTTAATTGCTACACCAAGCCTTGGAGAGTGCAGATGCTGCCCTCTCTGTCCTGTTGTGTAGTTCGTTCTTCAACTCTGCAGGCCTGGCTTGAACAGAGTTCTCCTCCCTTAGCTCCGGGTGCCTCTGCTGCATTTTTGTAGCCAGAATCTTTATACACTCAATAAAGTTGGCATTTCCACCTGGAAAGGCTGCTGGCTTCATGAACAGTTTTTTTTACTGCTTTCTCTTTCTTATCAAAGTTTCTTTAAAGGTGTATTTCTTAATTTAAAAGAATTTTCTATCTAAGAAATGTTTAAACATTGTACTAGCCACAAAAGAATACTTAAAATGAAATTGTTTCAGTACTTTACCCTCTAATGCAGTATGTTTTTTAGGCAACAGGGAAAAATACTTTCCTGGTCATTACCATTTTACTAAGGTGGTTAATGGTACTGACCAGAAAGCTTTTAAAAAACTAGTGCTATACTATCACAAAACTGCTTCAAAGTAGAACTTTAGCATTAGAGAAGGGTAGTGTTATAACACTATAGTCTGATTAAAAATAAAATATGCTGTTCAGCAAGACTGCTCAAATGGCAGGGATCAGAAGCTCACAGCAATGCCACAGTGATAAAATATAATGATACAATACCTTTAAGTGGTATTAGCCTTTCTGATGCAGATGATGTAGGAAAATATATTTTAAAATTCATTCCTATGGGAATACATTGATATATGTGATTCATTCATATATAAATGCATTATAGAATTAATAGCAGTAGCATGTAAATATGTGTACAGGTAGTCCCCAGTTTAAGTTCCATTCCCAGGGTCTGTCCTTAAGTTGTATTATGTATGTAAGCCAGAACAGTATTGTTGTATAATACTGTATAAGTAGTATTGTGTAATTAACTCAAACCTTTGTGTATTTAACTCGAATTCTGCTACAATAGGCTCCGTTCTTAACTATGGGTTGGCCTTAAACTGGCCGTTCTTAACCCGGGGACTACCTGTATTTAAATGGTACTTTTTGGATGAACTTTTTATCATGAAAAATTATAGCTGGAAAATATGTTATATATAATTACAAAACAAGGAGTAGCATTGAGGGTTTCTACCACTGGGGGGACATTTTTCTGCCCTTTTAAAGAAATTTAAACCACGGAAGCAGCTCTAGGAAAATTCCCTATAGGTAACATGAGTATATAGGCCATTGTGATGCCACAATCATGTCTCCTCTAAAGCAAGCAGAAATGGTTTTCCTGCCTCAGATGACTAGAATTTAGATTAAAATGCCTGCAGGCATTTTAGCAGTACAGTCCTCTCTGTTGCCTACCCATCTCTTTTTTTCCTACCATATCACACAAGGACCTCTTCCAAAAACCAAAGCAGGACACTCCCATTTCTTTTCCTTGTATGTTAATTTTGAATAAACAGGAAATAGATTATCATTTGTACACAAGATAAAAATACAGATATAAAAAATAACAAATAGTGCTGCTGCTTTCTCTCCCCTGCCCTCCCTCCCCCTTCACACATATATATACATATATATTATCACAACATCTCTCGTTAACATTCAGATATAAATTCTTTAGTAGACAAAATAGAACTCTGTACTAAACCCAACCCTCCCCTTCTCCCCCTTTCAAAAACCAGAAGGCAGATTCGGGGAACAGCAGAACCGTTTTCACTAGCTGCTTTGATCTGTCCTCTGCTGCCACTGGCCCATCTTGAATGCACCGGTGGGGGGAATCTCTTGCTTCATCATCAGAGGTGCCTGAGCAATCCAAAGACATGGACGTCCACCAAACACAGCTGCTGTGCTCTCTTGGTACTTGCGCTGGCATGCCTTAACCAACGGAAGGTTTGTTCAACCGATTGCACCTAAGCGCACGAGGGATTAATATTTATATTATGCTAACAGTTATTAGGAATACAATTCTCAATTGGCTGGTTTTTTTAAGCAACCTTCTAGTTGCTTGACTGGTGGGGAAGAAAAACTGTAAATATGCAGGGCTGTGCTTCTGGAATGAAAAACTCAAACCAGAAAGTTACGTGTGAAATACGACTGCTGTTATATCAAGGATTTTTTAGCACTTCATGTCCTCCTGTGCCTTAATCCTGTGACAGGTCAGATATTCTGCTGTATGCTATCCAGATGCAAAGATAGACTCTTAAATAGTTGTATAGGAAAGAGAATTCTGAGAGTCTGAGGAAGAGTCATTAAAATGGATTTTGAGCTATAAAATTGCCAAAATTAATGTTGATCACCTGTCCATGCTCTTATTATACTTTGTGAATTTTTAAACTAGGCATATGTCTGCATCAGGCACACCAAAAGCAAAGAATATTGTTCAATGGCCAACTAATTGATCTTTGAGAAATGAGCTGCATGTGATATATATAATGTTCCCCAACCAGATGTTTGGATTACAGCTCCCTGCTTGGAACTAGGAGTCAAACTCAACAAGATGTCCAGATAATTTCCTATGAAATCCAAATATTTTTAACTGTTGAGAACCAACGAATCCTTCTTGGACCTATTAAGTTCTAAATTCCTGTTGCTTTCTGCTTTGAATAGAAATGGGACCAATGCATCTTGTTCACCCAATTTCTTTAATCCGACGTAATGGCCTCTAACCTTAGCAGTATCTAATCAACTCTGCCCAACACTTACCCTTCATCACATACAGTTGCCTAATGTTGCACATGTTTCTCCATTATAGAACTTGGTGGCCAAGGAATTTAAGACCTATTGTCAGTTGGGATATTTTACATCAACAATGTATGTATTATGTGTCTGTTCCAGCTTCTCATCTCCATAGCACAGTAGAATGTACTGTGTCTCGCACAGTTGGGAGTATTTTTGCATATGAAGCTTGAAGTGTTTTTTGTTTCAATCAATTTTGCAATTTCAGTATAAAGCCTACATTGGCCAGAATGCTCATATGCATTACAGATAAGGGTTAAAAGAAGATGCAATCTTTAGTGAGTTTCTTGGGCTACTTGTGAATTTTTGCATTCACCCTACTTGGACACCACTTCCATGATATTGAAGAATTCATGATTTAGCTGTTGGTTTCTCCTTCCATTGTTAACCTCAATTCAAGATGAAAAATCAAGCACTGGAGAGAGTTCAGGAGTTATTACACTACAGTAGCAGCTTGCACTAATTGTATCCCAGATCAGAGGTTCACATAGAGCAGCACTGAACAGCAGCACAGTTGCTTACCCAAACATGTTGTGTCTTGAAGGGTACAGGAAACTGAAAAAAATAATAGTAGCTTAACTCCAGGCTTCAGAGACAACAACATTGGATTAGAGGGGTTTTCAGGCCCAATAAATCAGTAGGGCTAGCAACCAATTAAGAAAAAACTGGAGGGAAGTTTTTCTATTTTTTAAAAAGACCATGCATTTAAGAATCCAAAATACCAACTGTACAGCTAGAACCTGAGTTTGTAAAATTCCAAGGATAATTCATTGCTTCTTATTGAGCTGGGCACCACTTTGTCTCAACGAAAAAAAACAAGTTTAGGATTTGATATGCCTTACTAATAAAGATTGCCACGCTGAATCTGCATGTTTGGAGAGACAGACAAGATTGGACCTCCTGTGTACTGTTTATCCATTACAAAGTGGCATGCTTGTCCAGATCAATGCTATCTCCAGAAAGGAAAGGCTACCAGATGGTCTTTCCAGGGTGATGTAAACACATACAGACTCTAGTTGTTTTGCAGCAGAGAAAAAAACTATGCTTGCCACCAGAAGTGTGGTGGTTCTTAAATGTGCCCCAAAGTAATTTAGTGTGACCTTTGGCCTGGATAGAGTAATCTCTCTTTCTTCTTCTACAACTGTACAAAATGCTTCCCCATCCTGGATACTTTAGAATGCATTTAACTATAGTCAAGTCACAATACCTTGATCTATGCTTATGGAAGAATTAGCACACTATCCTAAGTTGTGCAGTTTTCACCAAAGTTTTTGTTCCTGGGTGTTTCCTGTGCTAGCGAGCAATGTTAAAAGAGAAATGTGCACTCTCTGTTGGGATCAAGTGGGCCCTTTCCCCACTATACCTGGTCAGTGGGTTGTAGGAAGAAGGGAATGGACTAAAGTGGAGAGAGTAGAAAACTCCTATGAATAACTCTATGCAGAGCTGGCCATCCTGTTCCCATGTTGCAGAGGATTCCACAAAACCTCATAGGCATCCAGAGAGGCAGTCAAGCTGGGGAGGAAGGAATGCCATGTGAGAAGCTTCATCTGCGGTGAGTACCCAGCATAACCTTGGTGATGAAATTGACGATGGCTGATGCTGGTTGCTCAGGATCTAACTCGGCAAAAAGATGGCAGACATTCTCACATGGGTTGCCCTGTTTCTTGGCCACAAAGCCGAAGATCCTGCAAAAGACAGTTGGCACACATCAGCAATAGTTGTGGCTTCTGCTGGCCTTGATTTCCACCCTATGCTAGTCAAGGATCGAGACCACAATTCTGTTTCTCCATTGCTTATAGTAGGGGAGGGGGTACGAGGGTGGGGGGAGGTATCAGACCAGTGTCAGCAGCATTATAACAACACCAGCCCTGTCCTTTTTCTATGTGTATCCTGATATCACATGCAGTTTCAAAAGGCCATAACACTGCCTTCATCATTTTGACAAAAGAAATGAGTTCCTGTGGACATTGCTGCTTATAGAAGTGTTGCTGCTCAGCCATGACAGGATCACGTTAGTTCTGTTTACACCATGTACTAAGCCATAGTTTTAACTCAAGGGAAGAAGAAGAGGAAATACCTAAAATATCACAAAGAAGGAACATTTTATCACATGTAGTGATTATGTAAAAAACCTCAAAAATACTGGAAAGTAACAATCAAAATATTCAGAAAATCCTAAACATAAAATTTGAACTGAAATCACAAATGTATTTATGTGGTATCATCCCAGGAAACAAATGAAAAACATCACAATTTATGAACAGCCACAAGAACAAATTTGGCGCATTGGGAAAAAAGGAACCTTGCCGATGATACCAGGCTGGGAGACCAAAATGGGAGGATATGCAGCCATGGGAAAATTGTCAGTATATGTCCATAATAGCAGTCTAATGCAATTTAAGCAAGAATGGCTCCCTTATACCACACATTACATAGCAGGGCAAATTTAGATATTTGGAATATGGTTTCTAGGAAAAAAAGTTATGAGGCCAATCAAACACAAGAGACGAAAAGACATAAATAGATACCAGCAATAATCATCAGTGTTCAATGTGAAATATAAATATTTAGGTTTTGGTCAGCAGTTGAGGAAGCAAATGGAAGGGAAGGAGAGAACGTGTCACTAGAAAGTTTTCCCATAATGATTTTTTTTCATCCTCAGTAGTTGTTTCTCTTTTCTTCATTCTATTGCCACTATCTAAATGTAGACTTTTCCCCCTTGTATTTCACTAACAATAAAAATACATTTTAAAAAAGGAAATATAAAATATCCTTGCTTAAGCTCTGACAAACAATCTGTTGCTTTGGGGCAAGCAGGACCGAAGCTGTACAAGGGAGTCAAAACATTGATCCTATGCTTTTCTTTAACAGAAACTAGAGAAGCTAGAAATTTTAGAAAGAAAGAGGTTATACTAACAATTTTGCTAGTGATAATGGGCCGCTCAGAGATCCAAGAATGAATTAAAATGAAGACTGATGAACATCTGCTAAGAAGAAGGGTGGTTCGTTTCAAATGTATGGTTCTGTTTATTTGTCCATATGGAAAAGGAATGAATGAAAAAAACAAGAATGAAGTATTTTAAGTTGAAATAAAAGGGTGATGAGAGGTTCTGAGTGTGGCATAGATTTAGATCGAGGGAGAAATAGAAGAAAAGGAAAATAGGGAACCAAAGAGAATGAAAATAGGAAGAGAGGGTATGTGCCTTGTATGAAAAAAAAATATTACAAGATAAATGATCTCCCAACAGAACAGAAAGTCAGCAAAAGGAAAGATTATATAGAAGCTGCTTGTAAAAATAATTGTGTTACGAAGTGTCACAGAAGTATGTGGACTTAACACTAATGGGAAATATGAAAAAGAATACTTGGTGGGATGTTGAAGTGAAAAAGCTATGGATAAGGAAAAATGCATATAAAAGAATGTAGGAGAAAGTGAAGGAAAAAGATACTGTATAATGCATATGTAGAGAAAAAGTTGCAAAGAATGTAGTAAGAAAGCAAATGATGGTTAAAATTAAAAGAGGCAGAGAAATAGTGAACAATTGTAAGTTATACATAAATGATTAAAACCTTGAGCAAACAGATGAATTTGTGTACTTGGTAGAACATTTATTAAAGATGAGAAAATGGGCAGAGAAATGTTTAGATATGCAAATGCTAGTAGAAAGCTAATAGATGATAGGACTGTAGTAAGAAATTAATTGTTATCAAAAGAAGCAAAAATGGCTGTGTATAACAGTGCACTTTTTGCCCACTTTCAGAAGTTGGTTATGTCAGGAGAAACCAAAATATGTTTCATGCAGTGGGAATGAGGTACTTAACAAGTGTGTGTGGTGAAAAAGAAGAAGAAAGTCATGTGTGTATAGGTTCTGAATGAATGTGGACTGAATACAAAATGGAATGCCTGGTATGAAAAAGTACATTGAGTGGTTGAATCACATAGAATGATTGAGGATCAAATCATAAAATAAATATATGAAAGAAGAGTGAATGGGTTGAGGGGAAGGGAAAGACTGAGAAAATTATGATTGAATGAAGCTGATGAGAACCCCAAGAAGAGAGAAGTGAAAATTTTAAGAATAGAAGGAAATGTGTGCATTGGTGTATGAATGTGGTGAAAGCTAAGATGGTTTGCCAGGGAAAGTATGATGAAGGAGATTGTACAGGTAATCCTCAACTTATGACCATTCGTTTAAGGACCATTCAAAGTTACCACAGCACTGAAAAAAGTGACTTATGACCAGTCCTCGCACTTTGACCATTGCAATATCCCAGTGTCACGTAATCGCCATTTGCAACCTTCCCAGGGGGTTTCCAACAAGCAAAGTCAACAGCAGAAGCTGGATTCGCTTAACAATCACATTATTTGCTTAATGACCATGGCAAAAAAGGTCATAAAATCAGGTGTGATCCACTTAATGACCACATCACTTAGCGACAGAAGTTCTGGTCCCAATTGTGGTTATAAATCGAGGACTATCTGTAATGGTGTTAATATAAACTAGAAGTTAGTTTTCCTTTTTCTCTTATCTCCTATATTTAATTTCTTTTGCTCATTACTTCTCTTTTCTGCACTTTGCATGACACTGCCTACCATGAAAAGGAACAGTGTATGTATATAGGTCTACAAAGTGAGTGGGAGGAGAAATTGATCCTGCTCCTTAGATGATGATGTGGGAAAATTGGAACAGCAGATCTTTTAAGAAGAAATCTCAAATGCTTCCTCTCTTCATGAGGACTGCATATATTGTTAACAAACTAATCTAATTTGTCCATCAACACAATGTTGCCACCTTACAAAAGGAGAGCTTAAATGTTGGTAATAGAAGGACTTGAATGGCACAATGGGGGACCTTTCAGACTAAAATCTGACCCAAACAAAGTCTTCGACATTTAAGAGGTCAACCTATTATACAATCTATCAACATGCTGCTGTATGGGGTGGTATTAAATTAATGCTTTACTTGATCTTGGACATGTTATCACAGCTTTTGTTCTTTCCATTACTTACTTGGCTGTAGTGCCATCTGTGTTGGCCCACCTAGAGTTAAACATAGAGTTAGGTTAAGAAAATGCTCTTCAATCAATTGACCCTGGGGCAAATTCACAAAACACATCCCAGGAGCAGTCCTACTTCACAGAAAGACAGTGTACTTGGCTTAAAAAGGAAGAAAATTGATACTCCTGTAATTAGAGCAACAGAAGTTAAGTCACGAGTGGGAATTCGTAGTCCTCAGAGGTTGATAGATCCCAACATCTTTCAGTCTCAGCCAACATCACCAATAATTAGAGGTGATAAGAAGTGTAGTCCAATATTACTGAGAGAGCTACGTGCTCTCCACTCCTCATTTAAATATCTCTCCAGGTTTAAATATCTCCACTTACTGAAATTTCAAGGAATTGAGAATTGCATAGCAAACTTTAATGTACTTCAAAATTTTAAAAACTCAAGTTGTGTTTGCACAGCGCTCTGGCTATCATTTTGTACCTATCCCTATTGAAAAGGGCAGAGGTATAATATATTACTCTAGAGTTTGTTAATGTCACTGAAGCAGTACAACTAATTATCCTTGTGCTTTTGGCACAGTCACCACAGCAAAGATAGGAAACAGAAGAAATCAAAGCAAGGTTCCTTTTACCAAATAACGCAGAGTACTTTGAAATGAAAGTAAGCTGAAAAGTAGAAGCAACCCTCTAACTGCAGTGAGCTCATAGGAGTTTAGCTGCAAGTCATGTTCGACAACACATCTCTACATATGAAGAAAAAAATGTCACTGATGAGGATCCCACAAGCTTAGCACTTTTTCATCCCAAGGATCCTTGCAATATAAAATCCTGCATGCATTTGAATATATTTGTGTGCATATATACAAGCACCTTATAATGATGGTCATAGTGCAGATAATAAGAGTTGGTTATGAAATGAAATCAGATGAAAACCACCAGACCAACTCATAATTAGAATTTCAAGAAGTCACCAAAATGAAACTATGGGCCCTATTCAGTAGCTGCTTATTACTTATTATTTACCTGGTTTGTAAACACTGTCTTCTAAAGGCCAGGAGCAATCACACAGGCTACTTCACAGTAAACTGTAAAAGCTACTACAGACATCTTGGTCTCATAAATAGAACTAATAAGCAAAGCACTGTTAACCACCACAGCATACAATGGGTGGAAATATAGGGTAGACATTGAACGCAAGCTGCGCTACATTGTCTCAGGCTATTGGCCCAACAAACTCACCATCGTCTGCGGTGACTGCTAGCAATTCTCCAAAGCATCTTCCTTGGGATGCGGAAGATTAAGCCTGGCCCTTTCTGCATATAAGAGATATGCTTGTGCCACTAAGCATCCAGACTGACATGGATTTTCAGGGACAAAAGCAGGGCGCAAGCTATGCAAGAACCAGATGAAGATGGTGGTTACCTGCGGTCCTGAGGATCTGTGCTGCAGAAGGTAACGCTGTTGACTGGATAATGACGCCGGAAAAACAGCCTATGGGAAGAAAGAAAGACTCCTGAACACAGGGAAGACCTCCCCTCAGCTTCTACCTTAATAGAAGCCAGCAGTGGGAAGAGGGAAGAGAAAAAGGGATATCCAGACAATTAAGTAACAAGGCATGTCAGCAGGGAATAAATGCGAGGAGCACAGAGATGACCTTGGAGAATGAATGCAGTGGTTGTTAGCAAAACATGAGCTCAGCCCAGGAAATCAAGGAAGTGTGAGAAAGAATTAAAGTTGCCCACCTTAACTGTCTTTGGTATAAGAGAGAGGGAATGGGAAATGTCAAGCTTTCAAGATTTCAGTATCAAGAAAGTAGAGTTCTAGTCTTTCTTGCATCTGTTTCCTGACCTGGCCTACCTTGAAGGGCTGATACTGAAAGAAGAAAGGGCTTGCAGCTGCAGCAGACATAAAGGAAGGGTACCATGGTGCCCAGGAGCAGAGGCTGGCAGACTTACTTCCTCTGGTTGTCTGTGAGTGTGATGCCCTGGGCTGACACCTTGAAATGAACAACACTGGCAGAAGCATGGGGATTAGCAGCCAGGGTACTGGTGGTTGCCTTCGCCACGGCCTGTGGCCCTGTCAGGGACTCTGTTTCCACAGAGCTCAGGTAAAGCACGCTGCAGGCTGCAGTTTGGGAACGGAGGGGGGAAAAGAGTACCACATCAACAAAAGCAAGGGGGCCACCAGAATGATTCACTGACATGACCCCACCCCAGGGATCTTCAGTTTGCCCATGCTCCTAAAATGATGTTCACATGAGACCTTTAATGCACAATGACCCTGACTATTCCCAGCGTTGTATGGATGAGTCAGAAGACGTCATCTTTCATTCGCAGCCCTGCCATATCTTCCCACCTTCCATACTAGGAAAGCTCTGTTAGGAAGGGACATACTCAATGGCCATGTTTTCCTTTTTATTGGAAGCATCCTGTGGAG